ATAAATATGGCTGCCCAAACCAGGAAACAGTACTAGAAAAAATAGTTTTTTGGTTTCATTTTTTATGGGGGCATTTACGAGTTTATAAACAGTTATCATTGCTTTTCATTACTCGTTTTTTTTAATATAACCCCCCAAAGACGGGATAGGAGAATGGTATTTGTACCCCATATCCTTTTAAATTAAAAAAAAAAAGGGGTTTTTTTTTTTGAAAAGGGTTAAAATTTTAAATTTACAATTTTGTTTTGCTAAGTACATACGTAAAAACGATACCCCACTTTTCCTGCGGGATGGGTCGAACTGCTCGGTATTTTTCCCCAAATTTTTCATTCTGGTTTTTAAACATGTTTTTTATGTTATTTAAAATTTTTTAAATTTGAAATATTAGATCAATTGTGTTTAGGCAAAAAACTGTAGTTTTGGGATTTTTTTTTTATTTTTTATTATCCCACGGGCCCGGGTTCCCCCCAAACTGAAAACTTTTAACACCCCCCCCTTCAGAGTGCGGGCCCTTTGTATTTCCCCCATCCCCAGGACTAAGTCCGGCCGGGGTTTTCCCCCGGGAACCCCTTCATAAATTTTACTTTGCTCACATTTTCCAACAGCACGTCAAGTTTTAAAAACCATTTGTCTCCTTTTCACTCCTACCCAAAAAACGCTCCCCGCATGCCTGCGGGAAAAGCCCCAAGCCCCTCCCCAAACCTCCTTTACCCCTCTCTCCAACCTTTCCAAGGCCGCCCCTACCCCGGCCCCCCTTTCCCTTTCCCCTACAGACTGATACACTTTTTGAAGTCATTTTGGGTTTTGCTCCATTCTCTTTCTGTCCGAAACCCCCTCAACAACCCTTTCCCCACCCCCTGGGGGCAACGTTTTGGTTTTAAACCCACACCTCCTCCTAATTCCCCCAAAAACGAATTTTCTGGGTTTTTAAAATTTAAAAAAAAAACATTGCCCTCAGACAAAACAAACTCCCCTGCCTCCAGCCCTTTTCCCCGCTGCCAAAAATTTTTTCACCCCTGCTTTAACCCCTATAAGAGCGTTTGGTTTAAAAATATCTCTCATAAAAATTCCCCCTTTTCCTCCCCGGACAAAGTTTTTTTTTTCCACAGACTCCCCAAGTTTCCCCCACTCACCTTTTCCCCTCATCAATTCTATGATTCACCTCATCTTTTTTAACCCCTCCGCTGCCAAAGTTTCCCCTCCAAATAAACTTTAATACATTCCCTTCCCCCCATACTCTTTTCCCTCCCAAACCGATATTCAATCTTTTTCACCTAATCCCTTTTTGTTATCCTCATAAAACCCTTTCCTTTTTTTCCTGTATTCATCTTTTAAATTTTTTTTTTTGCAACCCTACCAAATTATAACCCAAACTCTCAACTTCTCTTCGAACTCCCCAAAGCCAGTGTCTCAGCCCAAAGGGGCACTGTGACAACTCCCAAATTTGTGTTTTGGGTTTTTTATCTTTTAAACTCCCCGCCCCTTTCCAAACCCTGGCCCTTTCTTTCTTAACCCCCCCATCTTTTTAAAATATTAAACAACCCCGGGTGAAATCAAACTTTCCCCGCTAAGGCTACTTTTTTGGGAAAAAATTTTTTCCCCCTTTCCTACAAAAAACAAAATTGAGTCACAAACCTCGTAAAAAAATCTTCACTGCTTTTTAGTAAAACCCACCTTTCCTTTCACCATCACCCTTGGGAAACATCGGGCCCCATTTCCCCCCCATCCCCCGGGAAAACCCCCTTTTCCCCAAAACCATAAATGCCACAAAGACCCCTTTAGCCCCTTTTTCTAAAAACTGTTTACTTATATTTTTCACTTAAAACCCCCTGGTCCCCACCCCCCCTACCTTCCTAAAACCCCTTGGGTTATTGCTACCCCATTCTCCCCTCTTACTCTTTAAATTTTTTTCCAATAATACTCTAAACCCCTTACCCCCTTTTACCAAAGGGATACTCACAGGGCTTATCCCCCCCTTTAAATTTTTTCAAATCTCTTTTATCCCCTTTTGCCTTTATAAAAGGAAAACTATCATGCTTTTCTTTCCAATCCCCCAGGTACCTTCCCCCCTTCCATACATTTATTAAAAAATTGCACCAACCACTCCAAAATATATCCCCCTGCTTTTTAAACCTTTTTTATCTTTATCCCCTCAAACCCCCGGGTGCCTTACCCCCCTTTTATTTTACCAAATGCCTCCCCGAAATTCCCCCCCACTCAAAAATGGCTCTTCCTCACCCCCTACAAGTGTTATTTCCTTTCCTATAACGAAATCACAGCTTTTCCCCATCTTTATTTAACATTTTTAAAAATTCCCCCCAAAAAAATTTCCCCCCTCTTCCCCAATACCCCTTTAAAAATCTCCTTTAATAACTCTCCCCTCCCATTTTTTAAAATGGGCAAATTTCCCTTTGTTCCAGGGTTTTTTTAACTTGGGTTTAAACTTACTCCAAAAAATTTTTTTTATTTTCCCAAAAAAAATTTGTTTTTAACATCTCAACCCCCTCTCTCATTTGCTCTCTTTTTTACATTGCTTCAACCCCCTTCTTAACTCTCTCTTTTTTTCCAAATACTCTTTCCCCCTGTCATCATTCTACTTTGTAAAAACTTTCATATGCTAAACCCCTTTTTTTCCCCTTTCTACTCTTTTTTACTCATCAAATTTAAACCCCAATCGCTCCTCTTCCCTCCCGCCCCCCTTTTCCCTGAAACCCACAAACTTCTGCTGAACACTCAACACTCTTTTAAAACCTCCCCTCCCTCTTCGACCCCATTGCCTATGCCTCATTACCCATCTATCCTCCAATAGCTTTTATACTACCCAACGCCCCCTCTTTTTGTTTTTTAAACCTTCACCTCCTCTTCCCCATTTCTATTCTCCTTGTACCCATCTAACCCTTTTTCTCTCATGAGCTACAAATAGAAGTGATTTGATTAAACTTGGCCCCCCCCAAAACATGTACATCCCGAAGCTACTCAACATCTTTTATTACCAAAAATAATCCAACAAACTACTGTCATTTTGCCCTACATCAATCTTGTATACTTATTTTTCCTCTTTTTTTTTAAAATATTATTACCTTAAACCAAACCCCCTTTTTATAAAATTCAAAAAAAGGGCTCCCATTATCATTTACACCCGGACCCCAAAACTTACCTACCACACCCCCCTTTTAAAGTTTTCCTACTTCGCATTCAGGTCCCCTCCACAATCTTCTCACTTGGTTTAAAGGCTCCTATCATTTACTTTAAAATCTCCCAAAAACTCCTCTCTCCTCTGCATTTTTTCCCCTTTTCCCGGTGCATACACGCTTTTTTTGACCCCTTCTCGCCCCCAAAACCTTTATTTTAATCCACATAATTCTTGTTTTTACACATTCAATTCTCTTTTCTCCTTCCATAACTGATCATTCAACATTACTGCTACCCCTTCCTTTCTCTAACCTTCAGAACCCCAGATTTTAATCCCTTTTTTTCCCCCCCACTGAAACTCCCCACCCCCTTCAGCTTTTTTTTCGCTTAGGGCCAGGACATCCAATTTCTTTTCATCATAACATCACAATCATCTTTTTTCTTGTCATCCGCACTACATCCCGCACATTAAGAAACCCAGTTTTTTTAATTTTTTTTCTTTCTTTTTTGTAAATGTCACGGGAGAAGGGGTTTACTACCCCTTTGCCCCCGGCATTTTAGTCGCCTCTACGACACCATGGCTTACGAGGAAAGATTTTTTTTCCACTTTCCCTGGCAATAGAAGAAATAAAGAAGAACAAAGCTATTTTAGAAAAGGAGAAAAACCTAGATGTATTATATATTATCATGTGCGTGTCTGTGAAGTGTGACCAAAGGTAAGTAGGAGTAGCAAATATCCCGTTTTTCTAGCAAGCTTTTTGAACAGAAAAAAAACAGCAATCCTACCCTCATGCAAAACGTTACGGTTTTTGTTTCACAGTCATCCAGGACGGGAGTACTTCCCGGGGGGTTTTATATTTCGAATTAAAGCCTATTCCCTCATCCGGAAATAGCCGGGGAATGACGGGCTTCACGCCACCTTATCTTTAAGGGCAATGTACTGTGTATGCTTTTCACAAAGAGAAGCATTTTTTTTATTTATTTGGGAAACCATGGCTAGGCTAAAAGTAAGCAGGGTTTTAACATAAACGGGGAAAAAGAAATTTTAATATTTGTGCAGCAAGTACACCCCAAAAAGTAGCACCGGTTTGGGGTGGGGAACCCCGGGAAAATTGAAATTATGCTAGCCGAAATTTGCCGAATAACTGATTGCTGATTTTTGATGCGGACTGTACCCGTAAATGTCCTGATAAATTTTATTCATCTTGGAATCAGATTTTATCTTTGAATGTGTTCATGCATGTATGATCTTTCCAAGCATTACCACAGAAAACATTTTAAATGAATGTAATACAGTATTTCATTAAACATTTTGTATGTACTGTTTTCATCAACTTAATTTACACGTATCTTGCATTTACTGTTCAATATCATTCCAGTTAGGGGTTAGCTACTTTACTATTTTAACCATAAAAATGTTCCATGATAATTTCAGTAGTCATAAAGAAGCTTAGAAATATTTTAAAAAGACTGATCTGAATAGCTGTAAAATTAAGTTGTCCAAAAAAAAATTAATGTGCTGAGGTGCCGCTCTCCGGCATTTCAGAGAGTAGCTTCATGTATTGAAGGTTGCAGAAAGGAAGTGAGCCATAGCCCTTGCCTTCTAATTAGTAGAAAGTAGTGTGTGAGGAACCTTAAGTTACTCCTTAGTTTTTGTCTCGTAATTCATAGAAAATCCCTAGTGTGTTAGAATGCCCATAATTTAGCTGTTTTTATTTTACACTAGTTTAAATTATAAATTGCAGCATGCTTTTAGCCTACTGATTATTATTATTTGAAATAAATATTAATTTGTTAGTTTATTTACTTTTCATGTTTAGTAGCCAAATTAATTACATTTATTTTAACCTTTTTTTTTTTTTATTTAGGTTCGCACAAAGGACATGGGAGGCCACTCAACTACCTTTGAATTTTATCAAGCTGTTATAGCAAACTTGAGATACTGATACTGGAACAAGTCTCACTTTCATAAAACACATTTAATGTCATGCTAAAACAATTTCATTATTGTTCTAAGGAAATTTTTTTATTTTTTTAACAGAGAATAAGGTTACATACCTTTTCAGGTGTTGAAGTGATGAATAGCTCAAATTAATACTCTTCATGATGTAAGAGAGTACTAATAAATATATTTTTGCAAAATTACACCTTTACTCCCTATGAATTCATACCACTGTGAAAGGTAAATTAGGTCAGGTAGTGTGGTAGATAAGACACATAGGCAACATTTAGGCAACTTTATTCCGAAACGTTTCGCCTACACAGTAGGCTTCTTCAGTCAAGTACAGAAAGTAGGCGGGAGCAGTAGAGATGTGAAGACGATGTAATCAGTCCATCACCCTTGAAGTCGTAGATTTGAGGTTGTCAGTCCCTCAGCCTGGAGAAGTTCTGTTCCAAAGTCTGGAACTAACTGAAGATCAAGTGACAGTGTTGAGACTTAAATACTGTTGGAAGGAGAGGTGCAGAGTAATAGTAGTGAGAATGTAGCTTCTGAGAGGTCATGTCACTCTCAGATTAAAAAGTTCTCAACTTGAAAAAGTTGTCCAAGGTGTTTTCTCTTCTGTATCAAGATGCCATTGTGTTGCAGTGTCTGACAGAGTGATTATCAAATGGTATACAATACCGACAGGTTGGTAGATAAGACACATAGGTAAGACACACGGTATTGTATACCATTTGATAATCACTCTGTCAGACACTGCAACACAATGGCATCTTGGTACAGAAGAGAAAACACCTTGGACAACTTTTTCAAGTGAGAACTGTTTGATCTGAGAGGGACATGACCTCTCAGAGGCTACATTCTCACTACTACTACTCTGCACCTCTCCTTCCGACAGTACAGTGGACCCTCACCTTACGATATTATTTCATTCCAGAAGTATGTTCAGGTGCCGTTACTGAACGAATTTGTTCCCATAAGGAATATTGTGAATTAGATTAGTCCGTTTCAGACCCCCGAAAATACACGTACAAACGCACTTACATAAATACACTTACATAATTGGTCGCATTGGGAGCTGATCGTAAGGCGGGGGTCCACTGTATTTAAGTCTCAACACTGTCACTTGATCTTCAGTTAGTTCCAGACTTTGGAACAGAACTTCTCCAGGCTGAGGGACTGACAATCTCAAATCTACGACTTCAAGGGTGATGGACTGATTCCATCGTCTTCACATCTCTACTGCTCCCGCCTACTTTCTGTACTCGACTGAAGAGGCCTACTGTGTAGGTGAAACGTTTCAGAATAAAGTTGCCTATGTGTTTTATCTACCAACCTGTTGGTATTGTATACCATTTGATAATCAGGTCAGGTAGTAAAGCCTTTCTAGTTAAAAAATATACCTCTTGTTGGGTCAGGGAAAGACAAAAACCACTCTGTATCAGTCTTATGAAGCAGACTAACTTAACCTCTCAAGCTAGTGTGTATTCATACGTAAGTGTGTTATGTGACTGACTTTTTACATACAGTACTTCCCAAACATAAGAGAACTCAGCGTCTACCTAATTTTTGGTGTTAAGGAAATATTTAAATGATTGTTGTGTCAAATAAAAGTTATTGCTGTATTTTTTTATTTTAAAAAATGTTTAAATTTCATTAAATTTGGGATGGGACAATACCAGAATTTTTGCAGATACAGATACTCACATTTTGGCTGATACCAATACTTTTCCTATATTTTTTTTTTTTTTAATTATTATGACATGTTCCCTATATAAGAGAGTGCTTATTGCACAATAAGTATTAAATAGTGCAGGAAGGTTAAATATTAAATACATTAATGTTTCGGAGATGATAATGTCATTGCTCATTACTTGGCCTGTTGTATTAGTTACTGGCTGTCAAAGGCACTTCTTGATAGTGTGTGTACGAGAGAGAGAGAGTGTGTGTGAGAGTGACCCACCCACCCTCCCTCCCTCCCTCCCTCACAGTCATAAGGTAGTGTTAATGTTGATATTTTTAAGCACACATGTAATTATTTTTATTAACACATTGGCTGTTTCCCACCAAGGCAGAGTGGCCCGAAACAGAAAAACTTTCATCTTCATTCACTACATCATTGTCTTACAACATTAACACCCCTCCTTCAGAGTGCAGACACTGTACTTCTCATCTCCAGGACTCAAGTCTGGCCTGCCGGTTTCGTAATATTAATATTTTAAAAAGTATTTGCTTGTATCAGCCTTTTTTTTTCACTGATACCATAAAAATTGCCAATACCTGTTGGTAGTGATACTTTGGTTCATCCCTAATTAAAATATATAATTTTTATACATATATTGAAAGCTCACTATTGATTCTAATCCTATTTCAACAAAAACTGTTGAAACATATTGTTATTTCCCTTTTTATTACTGGATTTCAGCTTATATTTTTGTACTTTTCATCAAAATACTCTATATGTTGTAAACATTTGAATGTAAATGTCAGTAGGCATCACGTGCAGTTTATTAAAGATTTACACACCAATACAATTTGTTTAGTCTCTAGAGTCTACATTATACAATATAGGATACTGTATAAGAACATCCCAAGTTCTTATTGTAATGGTACCTTTGAAGATAAAATGTAATTTGTTGCAGTTTATCCAGGTTCTACAATATTGAATATACATATACTCTTTAGAGAGGCATATTTTGTCTACCTAATTTTATTTAATCTGCTACTGCTGTTCTAGTTGTAAAATTTCAGCTGTGCACTTAACGACCTGTTTGAAACTTGAAAGAGGTTATCAAACTTATTAAGTAGTGCTTATAAACTATTTTTAATTATGGTGTTGTTAATGAGATGGTGGTACTGTATACAAATTATGTAATTGTAGTTCAAATAAATAGAAATTGTTTAACTATATTTGTTGCTTCAAGCTAATTATTGCAGATAATTCAGCTCCCTTATTTTGGTCAAGTACATTCATTCACCTATTATCCAACCCAGACAAAGCATGAAAGTTAGAGACCCTGAGTGTTTGTTACTAAGTTAACATTTCCCCAAGTATAAAAAAAAATTCTAGTTCAGGGTCATAACCTCTAACTCACAATTTGCTTGTTTCTCTTTGAATACGTGATTATACTGTGAACACAAAGAAATGCATGTCCATAAACAATGTTAAAAAAAAAAACACCGGTTTGTTCTGATTTTGGAACCTCTGCCCTGTCAAATAATTTATTTTATCTACAAGATTTTCTTCACAACAACAAATACTGTACTTATTTAGGCTTTGTTAGTGATTTGATAATAGGAATTTGAAATATACGGCCAAACTGTATATCTTTTTCTGTAAATAATGTAAATAATTCAGTGGTATTATTTTAACCGTTTTTACTTAACCTTTACTGTAGGTTTGAAGAAAAAAAAATTTCTCCAGCATGTCAGTGCTTTTCCCTCAAAAAAAAAAAAAAAGGCCATTTGGTCATTCCACACATGGTTAATAATGTTTTCTAAGCAACATCACAGGGCTCACTTTTAACTACTTAGCAGTCTTAATTACTCTTACTTTGGATACCCAGTTTATTGCACTGCAATAAATACTACAATTTGACACTCACCGTAGTGCATTTACCACTTCCTTCATCTGCGCAACTATTCAGAATTTTATTTTGGACCCCAAGGGGTTTTTGATTTGTCTCTCCCTTCCTTGGATTGAACCTGATTGCTTCCCTTATCAAATGACCTGTATATGCCCTATGAGTTTAGCACTTTCCCCTAAATATAATACTGTAATAATTTGTGACTTTATCAGCCTTAATGACTCTTACGGAGTGGATAAGTTTTATACAGTGCCTAATAAACCAATTCTTCCTTGATATTACATTGTCTTCCCTCACTCTTCTGTCTAATCATTTCAACAATTATTATTATTACTGTGTATTCATGAGTAAGCACTAAACTCACTAGGAATGCACAGTGGGAACAAGACAGCTATTTAAGAAATGATGGCACGTGTTTCCTGCCTCAGTGAAGATTTGGTGGTGGTGAGGGGATCTTGAATCGAGCCTGCACAAGTTATGTGTTTTCAAAGAGGGAGTAAATTACTATCATGGCTTGTCAGTCAATAGTTTGAGAATATGTAAAGAACTTCAACAGAACTTTATTGACTTAAGACTGAGGGAGATTGACACCAGTCAGTCCATCATCATCCTGTTGTGCAAGAGGAGCCACATGTATATGGTGCATCCAGCAAAATGAGCAGACTTTTCGATGTCACTACCGCCCAGCTCTGGCTGGATTACAAATACATTTGGGAGGTTAAATCACCAACTGGATGTAGACCAAATGAAATATAAACTTTGCCAGATGGACAATTGTCACACCTTGTGTCATTATGTACTGCAATGCAATAAAAGTAATAAAATCAGAGACAACTCACTCAGAAATGTTTAAGATATGTCGGAGTATTTTATCTACGGTGGTATATTACAAACCATTCTGGAAAAATACCCGGACTTTGCTTACTGTAATAAAGCATTACCACCTGTATGTGTGTGTGAGTGTACTCACCTAATTGTGATTGCAGGGGTCGGGTCATGCTCCTGGCCCTGCCTCTTCACTGGTAACTACTAGGTCCACTGTCCCTGCTCCATGAGCTTTATCATACTTCATGTGTGTGCATGTGCATGCATGAGACCTAATTAATGTTTGAGTTAATAACTTTAAAATTGTGACCAGATATAAACATGTAAACAGTTCATTACTTTTGTAACTTTTTCAAGACTGTGACCAGATATTAGTATATTTACTACCAATTCAGAGTCATGTACTTATATATCTGTTATATCTATGTGACTCTGATGGGTTAGTATTATACCCCTTCATGAATATTTTATTATTCCACATACACCTTTTAAATTACACCAAAGTGGTTGGGCCACTTACCTTTTATATCCTACCTCTCTCCCCCCTCCCACCCTTTTCCAATATTTCTATCCTTACCCATCCTTCTTCCTTACCCATCTTACCAAAGCTCTGGTCATAAGAAGAAGAAAATACCAGATATTAACATGTAACTAGTTCATTACCTTTGTGACTTGTTTAGCTATCAAAACTTTGCAGCCCAGTCCCTGGACCCATTATGTACCTCTGTAATCTTTTGACTACTGCCCATGGATGGGTATGGGGTGCATAATTAAGATATCATACTAACCACACCACTTCCCCAGGTACTATATGACTCCTATGGGTTTAGCGCTCCCCATGAATGTAATGATAACGAGTACCTAAAACTGAATCACTTACTTACATATGGGTTACTGAGGTATTAATTTACCTGTAAATCAATATAAGAACATAATGAACACTTCAGTAAGCCTACTTGCCCATGCTAAGCAGGTCTAACACCCAACTGCATATTAGCATTTAGTTTGATTGTAATAATAACAATGATACAAACACTGCAGTAGGTGTAAACAAAGATGTGTCATTCCTAGTTATGCTGTATGACCCTTGTGGGTTTAGCGCTTCACAAATAATTATTTTTACACGGCCGTTTCCCACCGGGGCAGGGTGACCCAAAATGAAAAAAAAAAACTTTCATCATCCATCACTTTCACCATCACTCATACATAATCACTGTCTTTGCAGAGGTGCTCAGATACAACAGTTTAGACGTCCTTCCAAACTGCCAATATCCTAAACCCCTCCTTTAAAGTGCAGGCGTGGTACTTCCTATATGCCTTTTCTAAATCCATAAATGCAATGAAAACTTCTCTACCTTTATCTAAATACTGTTCACATACATACTTTAATGTAAACCTCTGATCTACACATCCCCTGCTCATTGTAAAGACTCCTTGCTCATCTGCAATCATGCTCTGTCCTAAGATAAGATTTCGTTCGGATTTTTAACCCCGGAGGGTTAGCCACCCAGGATAACCCAAGAAAGTCAGTGCGTCATCGAGGACTAACTTTCACTGGGGTCCTTAAATCTTGTTCCCCGGGATGCGACCCACACCAGTCGACTAACACCCAGGTACCTACTTGCTAGGTGAACAGGACAGCAGGTGTAAGGAAACCAGTGGCGTAGGTAGAGGGAGTTCACATTTTTCAAGTGACACCTTCTCAACAGTTTTTTAACTCTTCAGTTTGTGCGATAAAAGACAAATCTAATTTTTTTATCTGGTCCCGCTGTTTTATTCGCCCAACTTCCCAGTATTTTAAACTGTCTGTTCAATCTCCTGCGATGCGTTGGTGGCTGCTGGCATAAGTCAAAGTGACTTATTTTGAGTTATCCTAGGTAATCTACACATGTGCTGCTATGTATAATAATTTATGTAACTGTATTTATGTGTACCCGTACCTGAATACACTTAAACTTGGTATCCCAAGTGTAAGTAAGTTTATTCAGGTATACACAAATACAGTTACACAGAATTATCATACATAGCAGCATATGTGTAGAGAACCTGGGATAACTCAAAAAAAAGTCAAGAGAGAGTGCAGCATAACCCTTCAACCCATCAACTACAACATTCGATACTTGAGGCAGTGAACGTCATTAACATTCCTCCTGACACCGCCCGTGACTCAGTCTAGCCTTGATAGTATATCTCAGAAGACTAGGAAGATGGCGGAGAATATATTCCTTTTCGTCCCAAACCTCATTGGTGAGTATGGAGGGTGAAGGAGTGTGTTAGGTGATGGTAGAGTGTACCTGGTCCTCAGGAACTCTTACCTGACTCTCCTCTCCCTCATCGATCCACACACTCAGATAAGATTTGTAAGGATTTTTAACCCGGAGTGGTTTGGTTTAGCACTCCCTTTTTATTATAATAATAATAATTTTAACCTGGAGGGTTAGCCACCTAGGATAACCTAAGGAAGTCAGTGCGTCATTGATAGGCTTATCATAATTTCAATGACTCAAATCGGGACATTTTTAAGGTTTTGGAAAAAAAAAGCGAAATATACAGTAGGTATTTTTTTTTTAATGCAAACAAATAAGAGCTAAAATGTATCATTTTTTTTTTTTCGAGGATTACAGAATTAAAAAGAAGAAAATGCATTAAGGATGGAATCTTTGGAAAAACCCCAATAGAAATAGTCACCTTATCTGACTTTTGGGTTATTCTAGGTAATTCACACTATGTATGATAATTGTACTTATGTGTACATGTGCCTAAATAAACTTACTTACAGAAGTGCTTGGTATACAAAAAACATACTCCATGACATGGCTGAGATTAAGTAGAGAAATGTTCTGGGCCTTAAAATGATTAAAGAGTTGACCCCATTTTTCTGAGGGTCCGTAGTTTGATTCCTGACAAGGGTGGAAACATTAGGTGTGTTTCCTTACACCGGTTGTCCATATTCACCCATCCGTAAAAAAGGGTACCTGGGTGTTAGTCGACTGGTGTGGGTCGCATCCTGGGACAAAATTGACCTACTTTGCCTAAAATGTTCTGTGTAACAAGGGGCTTTCTGTATAATAGTATGTCATTGATGTCATCTAGGCCTGTATACCTTGTACATGTACTTGTAGAAATCAACATATTATGTTTCTGTCTCAGACAAAATGACAGACTGACCAGGACTTTCAAATCAGGGCAGTCCCAGTCTAAACAGGATATATAGTAAGCCTAGTCAGACTGTCTGTCTTATTTCCATTGGTGTCCCTCAGTATTGTCCCCCAGGATGCAACCCACACCAGTCAACTAACACCCAGTTACCTACTCACTGCTAGGTGAACAGGGGTTTACCTGGAGTTTACCTGGAGAGAGTTCTGGGGGTCAACGCCCCCACGGCCCGGTCTGGTGGATCAGAGCCTGATCAACCAGGCTGTTACTGCTGGCTGCACGCAAACCAACGTACGAGCCACAGCCCGGCTGGTCAGGAACCGACTTTAGGTGCTTGTCCAGTGCCAGCTGGGGTAAGAAAACATGCCCAACATTTCTACCCATGTTGGGATTAAACCACGAACACTCAGTGTGAGACAACCAAGATTTGTTGTCAACCAAGCTATGCGATCCTTCAAAGGAATGGATGGATTCTTTGGTGCTGGTGAAGGATCATTGTTCCAAGAAATTAAAGCTGAGCTACACTTTTTTTCTTTTTTAATCAAACTGATTATCTCCTATTTCCCTGCACTGTATACCCCCTATACAGATTTAATGCTACCCAATGACTAGTGATTACAATAATCTTGGCATGCAATCCAGAATCTTATTGGTACATCCTGGATCATACAGTGCCTGTAAAATGGAGGCAATCAAGACAATGTAAGATTTAAATGACAGGTAGGTCATCAGACAAGTTTAGCCATGAAATACTTGTGTAGAGTATTAAAGTACTGTATAACAATTTTGTTGATACTGTGTTATAAGATTAATATTTGGTTGCTAAGTTTTAGTATTAGTTACCATCTTATTCATGTGCTCCAACCTGAATTCATAATGGTATTTGATTTTGGGGTCAGCAATTCATGGATTTCCTTTCTTACAGGTTATGGTCGCATCATATTGGCATTGCTGTCGTTCTACTACATGCCCACCAACCATATCATGGCAGCATCTATGTATATTCTGTCTGGTTTTCTGGATGCTTTTGATGGCCACGCTGCTAGACTTCTTAATCAAGGTACAGTTTTTTGAGTATAGTATTAAAAATATAAATTAGTAAAAACAGCACACTAATTGATTCATTTACATAGTTATTTAATAAGACATACTCTTCAAATTTGAAGGACTCTTGATACAAGGGATCTGAGCTTCTCTCCCCTTCAGATGTAACCTGATTACCTCCCATTCCCCAGCAACTAGTATATCATCTCTTATGGGTTTAGCTTTTCCCTATGAATATAATAATAGTAATAAAATGTATATCGTTTAAAAAAATATGGATGAACATGCACCCTGGTTAAAAAAAAAACAAAAGGTGAAATTGGAATGAAATTAATTCATATGCTATCAACTATTTTTGAAGAGAACCTGGAGTTTACCTGGAGAGAGTTCCGGGGGTCAACGCCCCCGCGGCCCGGTCTGTGACCAGGCCTCCTGGTGGATCAGAGCCTGATCATCCAGGCTGTTGCTGCTGGCTGCACGCAAACCAACGTACGAGCCACAGCCCGGCTGATCCGGAACTGACTTTAGGTGCTTGTCCAGTGCCAGCACTTTGACAGTATATGAAGATGCTATTCTTCATTATAAATAGTTTAAACATTTAAATTTTCATTTGTTTCATCATATTCTGTAACTGCATGAGACAATACTTTTGAATTCCAAATATGTATTAATATATATGCCCTTTGTGAACATTAAAATGGTATAAAATATCGACAGGTTGTTAGGTAAGACACATATGCAACAGTTAGGTATCTTTATTTCAAAACGTTTCGCCTACACAGTAGGCTTCTTCAGTCGAGAAGAGTATTGTTCCAATACTCTTCTCCAGACTGAGGGACTGACCACCTCAAAACTTCAAGGGTGATGGACTGATTACATCGTCTTCAAGTCTCTTCTGCTTCTATCAACTTTTCTGCACTCGACTGAAGAAGCCTACTGTGTAGGCGAAATGTTTCGAAATAAAGATACCTAACTGTTGCATATGTGTCTTACCTAACAACACATATTCCCTTTGAAGTTATTATCATGTATCAGCTACTGAATCTTTTAAAAGCATAATGAATAGGTTTACTAATCCCAGTATGAAATTTCTCTATTAATGCTATTTTATTCACATTTAAGGAAATACATTGTTCTTACATTCTTAATTATTTTATATATATATACCTTACAGTTACAGATTTTAAATGTGTATGGAAGCTAATGGATAAAGTTTTACTTGGCAGTCTCCTTTTTCTCCTTCCCACTTCCATTTTTTCTTTCTCTTCTTCCCTCCCTTTCAATTCATAATGGGCTGGTTGTCATCTGCTTGTTTCACAATACTTCACTTCTTATTATTCACTGAGAGTTTGCTTAATTTCCCAAAGATGAATTGGTTTGAAACAGTAAAGACAGTTATGTTTTGTAGCAGGAATAACAGGAGGTTTGAAGGTAGGCTCACTCAACAACCAGGAGTTGAACTCAGAATCTCTCATCAGTAAAGCAAATGTGCTGGCCACTATGCCTAGGGGTTCTTATTCAAATGTTATACTGTATTTGTACATAGTATTTTCTATAGAATTTTTTTTGTGAAAGAATTCATTAGTGATTACTTTTATAGTGAGAATGAAATTTAGTCTTATATCTGCATATGTTTGTTTTCTTTCAATCAAATTTATTTTGTTAGGCAAGATGAAATGTTGGATATTGTCATTGTAGCCATGACTGGATCAATTCAATTCAATTCAAAGTTTATTCTCTAGAAGGATTACAATGCTGAGTTTACAGAATTTGGTTATTGTGTGGTTTACATGTAAAATAATAATTACAGAGTGTACCACTAGAACACCTAGCATGGCTAGGCATTTTGGGCAGACTTAAATTAAATCTTAAGTTTAAAATATTACAAAATTATGAGGTAAGTTGGTATTATGGCTAAGTGACTAAATACTAGTTTGTGAGTTTAGCAATGTGAATGCTTTTGTTTTGGCACTATACATAGTTTCAGTATTGGAGTATCACAGGCCAACTTATGACTAGTTAAGATTCATTATTTTAAGATTGAGATTGATATTTCTGCTTATGGTCAAATGGGTGAGTGAGTGTAAGTGTTAACCACCAGGGATGTGTCTCCACATGGATCCAGCTTTACCACTGCAGCATTTGTTTGGATTCTTTCTTCCTCCCATTGTTCACTAAGGTGTTGAGCATTTTTCTTTGTGTACAATATATTGTTTCTTTAAGTTTTTTATATAAAATGTTCCTTGCTCTGATTATATTTACAATTCATGTTGTCTCATATTACAAACATTTAAAATTGAAAGTGGTTTATATACAATATTTTTAAATAATTTCTTTTTTAGTGTTGTGTAGCATTTTTTTAGTGTTTGAGAAAATGGTGGTTTCATAAATATATATTCATATACATATTAGTTTACTGAGTATACCAGGAAAAGTGTACGGTAGGGTTATAATTGAAAGAATTAGAGGTAAGACAGAATGTAGGATTGCGGATGAGCAAGGAGGTTTCAGAGTGGGTAGGGGATGTGTAGATCAAGTGTTTACATTGAAACATATATGTGAACAGTATTTAGATAATGGTAGGGAAGTTTTTATTGCATTTATGGATTTAGAAAAGGCATATGATAGAGTGGATAGAGGAGCAATGTGGCAGATGTTGCAAGTACAGTGGACCCCCGCATAACGGACGCCTTGCATAACGGACAATCTGCATAGCGGACGCTTTGATCGCTAAAATTTTGCCCCGCATAGCGCCCAAAAACCCGCTCAGCGGCCTTCGTCCGAGACGCGTCCAATGTGCGGCCTGAGCCACGCTCACATGTTCCGCGGGTGGCATTGTTTACCAGCCAGCCTCCGCGGTAACATCCAAGCATACAATCGGAACATTTTGTATTATTACAGTGTTTTTGGTGATTTTTTTCTGGAAAATAAGTGACCATGGGCCCCAAGAAAGCTTCTAGTGCCAACCCTACAGCAATAAGGGTGAGAATTACTATGGAGATGAAGAAAAAGATCATTGATAAGTATGAAAGTGGAGTGCGTGTCTCCGAGCTGGCCAGGTTGTATAATAAACCCCAATCAACCATCGCTACTATTGGTGGTACAGCTGCTGCTGCTGCTGTATCACCGTCAGCTGCTGCTGCACTGTCAGCTGCTGCTGGTGTACCACCGTCAGCTGCTCCTGCTGCTGTAGTACCGTCTGCTGCTGCTGTAGCATCATCTGCTGCTGCTGTAGCATCGTCTGCTGCTGCTGTAGCATCGTCTGCTGCTGCTGTAGCATCGTCTGCTGCTGCTGTAGCATCGTCTGTTGCTGCTGTAACATCGTCAGTTGCTGCTGTAGCATCGTCTGCTGCTGCTGTAGCATCGTCTGTTGCTGCTGTACCACCGTCAGCTGCTGCTGCTGCTGCTGTAGCACCGTTGTTGGTGTGGCTTATTGAGAATACCAAGAAACAATTAACCCCAGAGGATTTGCCACCCAGGATAGCCCAAAAAAGTCAGTGTCATCGAAGACTGTCTAACTTATTTCCATTGGGGGTCCTTAATCTTGTCTCCCAGGATGCAACCCACACCAGTCGACTAACACCCAGGTGAACAGGGAAAATGCCTGGAACTAGTGCTCATATTGGTGAATTTAGAGCCAGCAAAGGTTGGTTTGAGAGATTTAAGAATCGTAGTGACATACACAGTGTGATAAGGCCTGTTCTGGAAGAAAATACCAAACAGGACCTACAGTACTCAGGAGGAAAAGGCACTCCCAGGACACAGTGTCTCATCAGTCATTGCTGCATCTTCAATAAAGGTAAGTGTCATTTATTCTTCATTTAGTAGAGTAGTACATGCACAATATATATTGTGCATGTACTACTCTACTATTGTGCATGTATCCTTCTCTTTGTGTGTAGGAAAATGTATATTTCATGTGGTAAAATTTTTTTTTTCAAACTTTTGGGTGTCTTGTACGGATTAATTTGATTTCCATTATTTCTTATGGGGAAAATTCATTCACATAGCGAACATTTCGCATAACAGCCAGCCCTCTTGCACGGATTAAGGTCGCTATGCGGGGGTCCACTGTATATGGAATAGGTGGTAAGTTATTAAATGCTGTAAAGAGTTTTTATGAGGATAGTGAGGCTCAGGTTAGGGTGTGTAGAAGAGAGGGAGAATACTTCCCGGTAAAAGTAGGTCTTAGACAGGGATGTGTAATGTCACCATGGTTGTTTACTATATTTATAGATGCGGTTGTAAAGGAAGTAAATGCTAGGGTGTTCGGGAGAGGGGTGGGATTAAATTTTGGGGAATCAAATTCAAAATGGGAATTGACACAGTTACTTTTTGCTGATGATACTGTGCTTATGGGAGATTCTAAAGAAAAATTGCAAAGGTTAGTGGATGAGTTTGGGAATGTGTGTAAAGGTAGAAAGTTGAAAGTGAACATAGAAAAGAGTAAGGTGATGAGGGTATCAAATGATTTAGATAAAGAAAAATTGGATATCAAATTGGGGAGGAGGAGTATGGAAGAAGTGAATGTTTTCAGATACTTGGGAGTTGACGTGTCGGCGGATGGATTTATGAAGGATGAGGTTAATCATAGAATTGATGAGGGAAAAAAGGTGAGTGGTGCGTTGAGGTATATGTGGAGTCAAAAAACATTATCTATGGAGGCAAAGAAGGGAATGTATGAAAGTATAGTAGTACCAACACTCTTATATGGGTGTGAAGCTTGGGTGGTAAATGCAGCAGCGAAGAGACGGTTGGAGGCAGTGGAGATGTCCTGTTTAAGGGCAATGTTTTGTGTAAATATTATGCAGAAAATTCGGAGTGTGGAAATTAGGAAAAGATGTGGAGTTAATAAAAGTATTAGTCAGAGGGCAGAAGAGGGGTTGTTGAGGTGGTTTGGTCATTTAGAGAGAATGGATCAAAGTAGAATGATATGGAAAGCATATAAATCTATAGTGGAAGGAAGGCGGGGTAGGGGTCGTCCTCGAAAGGGTTGGAGAGAGGGGGTAAAGGAGGTTTTGTGGGCAAGGGGCTTGGACTTCCAGCAAGCGTGCGTGAGCGTGTTAGATAGGAGTGAATGGAGAAGAATGGTACTTGGGACTTGACGATCTGTTGGAGTGTGAGCAGGGTAATATTTAGTGAAGGGATTCAGGGAAACCGGCTATTTTCATATAGTCGGACTCGAGTCCTGGAAATGGGAAGTACAATGCCTGCACTTTAAAGGAGGGGTTTGGGATATTGGCAGTTTGGAGGGATGTGTTGTGTATCTTTATATGTGTATGCTTCTAAACTGTTGTATTCTGAGCACCTCTGCAAAAACAGTGATAATGTGTGAGTGTGGTGAAAGTGTTGAATGATGATGAAAGTATTTTCTTTTTGGGGATTTTCTTTCTTTTTTGGGTCACCCTGCCTCGGTGGGAGACTGCCAACTTCTTGAGAGAGAGAGAATTAGAAAATAAACAATACTTAATCTTGCTATAAGATGTTTAATGTAAAAGGAATGTAGATATAGTATTACAATTAGCTGATTATGTTTAGATACTGTCATTCACAACAAGCAAACACTGCTGATACTTAGTAATATTTTTCAGTGATACATCTTTGTCACAGTCTTTGCCATAGGCCCATATTGATGAGTCAGAAGTAGACAGTTTTTAAATCCATGATTTCAAAATCATGGCAGTCAATATAAAATGGCAGTAATTTATGCAGTCATAATGGTCCTCTTTCTTGTTTCTGTCTTTCTTTTTTTTCCTCTCACTTTTTTCTTTCCTCCCTCAAAGGGGTGTCCTGATTCATTTCCTACAGAAAAGGTACAACACATGCAGCTGAATACAGCTCTTGTTTTTGGAACACTGCTTTTATTCTTTACCTTTATTCAGCTCCTGAGAGCTGAGATGAATGACTTGTATAGGTTTATTTCTTCATGAATGTAATACTGTACTGTATAATAGTAACCTACCCGTCTGAAAGAAAAAAAAAAGCTCCACCGTTTATTTGATAAATTTCAAGTATAGTTGAAATTTTCTTTTTATGTCATCTTTATTCTAGAGATGTATTTCTATTCATTTACAGGTACAAAATTTGGTGCAATGCTGGACATGCTAACAGACCGTTGTGGAACAATGTGTTTACTGGTCACACTGAGCCATTTCTACCCTCAGTATATGTTCTTCTTCCAGCTCGCCATGACTATTGATATAGCCTGCCACTGGCTTCACCTTCACACGTATGTTGTTTTGGATTACAGTTTTGCAAAGTTACTAATCAGTAAGGTCTTAAAATGGCTCCTGTAATATTTGTAGCTTTTACTTTTATAGTGTTTTAGATTTTGTTAACCAACATCCCAAAATATTTCAAAATTATACAGGGACTTGCAGTTTATGAGTGTTCAAATTGTATTTCTTATGAGGTACCCCTGAAAATGCACTCCAAATGTAAGTCTTGTTATACAGTAGGGCTCCGCTTTACGGCGTTTCGCCTTATGGCATTCCGCTAATACAAATTATGACCAGAACTCGCTGTACGGCTCCCCCCATCTGACTTTCTAATATGGTCACTGTGCCTCACTCGGTTTGTTTACATTCTCCGTGATAATAATAATAATAACTTCTTTATTTACTACAAGTACATGTACTACATGGTATACAGGCCTAGCTGACATCAGTGACATGCTACTATATAGAAAACCATTTCTTATGCAGAGCATTTCAAGCAAATTAGGTCAGTTTTGTCCCAGGATGCAACCCACACCAGTCAACTAACCCCCAGGTATCTATTTTACTAATAGGTGAAAGAAACATGCCCAATGTTTCTACCCTCACTGGGAATTGATCCCAGACCCTCGCCACGTGAAGCGAGAGCTTTAGCCACCCTGGTGGCCTGGTGGTTAACGCTCTCGCTTCACACGGTGAGGGCCTGGGTTCGATTCCCAGCCAGAGTAGAAACATTGGACGTGTTTCTTTCCACCTGTTGTCTATGTTCCCCATCAGTAAAATGGGTACCTGGGTGTTAGTCGACTGGTGTGGGTCGCATCCTGGGACACTGACCTAAGGAGGCCTGGTCACAGACCGGGCCGCGGGGGCGTTGACCCCCGGAACTCTCTCCAGATAAACTCTCCAGAAACCAGGCCACAGGGCACCGTGAGCACTGCGTTTCTCCATTATGTCTGGAAACTTTCCAAAATTTTAAGTATTTTAAAGTTGTTTCATGTTTTATATATACGTACTCTGATAATTATACTTATGTATACTTGCACCTAAATAAACTTACACACTGTGCTGTTGTGCAGGTACACATTAAAATCACTAAGTGTGTCTTATTAGGCTTGATGCTATATTAATAATAAGAGTAATATGCAATAATAATCACTCTGAGGCACGCTAAATGTTGTACATTATGTTAATATAAACATTTTCATTAATCTATGATACTTTTTCAAAATTATATAATAAACATGCTACTTAACATATAAACATGATAAATACACCCCACAGTAGAATAAATTAGCATAAATATTATGAGATGTTACGTGTAGATGAACGTGTATCAACCATAACCAGATGCGTTCATCTGTTTGTTTACATCTTCCGTATTTCTCTCCTCTCTCATTTACTCATTCTCTCTCTCGTTTATTTTTTTTACCTAGTTTACTCACCTTTCACCCTACATTAAGACTACAGATATTTTAAAGTAAGTACAGCCTCTCCTCACTTAATCACGGAGTTCCATTCCTAATACCACATTGATAAACAAATTCATCGCTAAACAAGTGGGCTTGTCAGCCATCTTTGATATTGCTTTAATGTCACCCTTGCACTATTTATAACAATTTTAGTATATTTTTAAATGTTTATACAGTAGTGTACTGTATATTGTAATAAACAGAGTAGAGGAAATCAGCTCTAATATACATTATTTGGGTATGCATACAGGTCAGAGAGCCCGTCGTAAGACTGAGTCGTTGGTAAACGAGTACGTTGCTAAGCGAGGAGAGGCTGTAATGAATGTACTGTGTGTGTATTTTACTTTTTATTGTTTTAATGCTTAATTTTATTGCTAACTTAATATATGTTAGTGTAAACTTGTTATCTGGCATTTACATGCATTTATGAATGGAAAAAATGGTGTTCTGCTTTCTGACAGTATTATTATTATTATTATTATTATAATCAAAAAGAAGCGCTAAGCCACAAGGGCTATACAGCACTGCAGGGTAGGGAAGGAAGCGAGGGTATTGGATGGCAGAAGGGAGGAGGGATGATCAGTAGGTTACAGAAAACAGCGGGGCAGGGGATAGTATGGGGGTAGAGGGTAGCAAGAGATTGAAGTAGAAAGGGCTGAAGTATCAGATTTGTGAAGTAAGTCATTTGTTGTCAAAAAGTCAATGAGAGAGTCCGGATGAAAGGTGGGCCCATCAGCGAAAAGGGGAAGGTAAAGAGAGAGCAGCGGAGCGAAGACGACGACGGAGGTAAATTCTGGGTGCTCGTTGATAAAGTGGGCAGTCCAACAAAATGTGGCTGACTGATAATGGAGCTTGGCAATTCCAACAGGGAGGAGCAGGGCGCCTCTCCATGAGATTCCATGAGTAAGACGAGTATGCCAATGCGAAGACGGGAGAGAGTAGTCCCCAACCTCGACAACTGGTGATGAGAAGACGGCCAGTAACCTATACTTGGTTTAATAGTTTGAAGTTTGTTGCCGAGCATAGAAAGACCAACGGTGTTGCCAACGGGTGTGAAGGTGGGAAGATATTGCAGCAAATAGTCCGTAAATGGAATACCTCTATATGAAAACTGGTAAGTCATGTACTGCTGACCGCTCAGCAGTGTCTGCCTGTTCATTGCCCTGTACGTCAACATGACCAGGGGCTCAACAAAAAAAAATATCTTTATGCTTTGGGAAAGATGCGGTGTAGCCAAAATTGGATACGGAGGACTAAGGGGGGAGGTGTATCAAATTTCTGTATAGCCTGAAAGCACTAAGGGGGTCTGAGACAACCACAAATGAAGACACAGGCATAGATGCAATACAGATAAGTGCTGCAAGGATGGCATACATTTCAGCAGTAAAAATACTAGCCGAAGATAGTAAATGCCTCATACGACGCTGTCCGGAAAACACTTTCTGTGAATCCTACGCCGTCAGAAGACTTAGAGCCATCTGTGTACACAGCAATGGATGAGAATGAGAGTGAAAGTGGTCAAGAAAAGAAGCGGGAAGGACCGTAGACAGTTGGGCTTTCGAGCAAGGAGAGAGAAGAACAGACTCGAACACTGGAACTTCCCAGGGGGGGTAGGGAAAAGTGAGATGCTACATGAAAAATAGAAAGGTGGTAATTGAAGAGAAGACAAGAGCGAATGAAGGCGAAGAGAGAAGGGGCTGAATAAACAGGGGCGGCGAACAAATAAAGAATCTACTAATATCAGTGACCATTCTATAAATGGAAGGATTGCGGAGATCAAGAGAGCGTACATGTAGCGAAGGCAATGGGCATCACGGCGATCGGATAAGGATGGAACGTTCGCTTTTTGCATAGGGCTCTCGACGGGAAGAGCGAAAAGCACCAAAAGGGTTTAAAAGTAATCCTTGGTGATGAATGGGGTTAAGGCTAGAGAGAGTAGCAGGAGATGCCACTGAATAGATCTGGTCACCATAATCAAGTTTCGATAAAAAAAGGGGGGAATGTAGGGGAAGGAGGGTTCGAAAGATCAGCTCCCCATGAAAAAATGAGCAAGGGTTTTAAGAAGGTTCAGCCGGCTGTGACAAGTTGCCTTCAGAGAGGTAATGTGAGGTTTCCAGGATAACTACGTCAAAGAAGAGGCCCAGAAACTGACTGTATCACGTTCAGGGATACGGAGCCATAGAGGTACAAAGGATGATCGGAGATGACAGAGCGTCTAGTGAAAGTAATTTGGTGGGTTTTAGTGCTGGAAAATTTAAACCCCCGTGTGGTGGCCCAATTGGAAACACGGTCGACTGCATGGTGGAGAGAAACTGTAATGAGGTGACAGTCAGCGCCTGCACAGGCAATAGCGAAGTCATCCCAACATAGAGTGATGACCAAATATTTGATGGAAGACTAGAGGCCAAATCATTAATAGCAAGGAGAAAAAGTGTTGTGCTCAGAACACATCCCTGGGGGACACCTTCAGCTTGGATAAAGTCCGGGGAGAGCACATTATTAACCCTTTCAGGGTCCGTCCCGTAGATCTACGGCTTTAAAGGTGAGTGTCCAAACCCTAGATCTACGCCATGAGCTCAGCTCACTCTGATAAACTGTGAGTGGTACATTTGGGCCTAGATATGAGAGAATACATCTATGTGGTATGTGTGCACCACATAAAACAGATCCTGCAGCACACTGTGTATAATGAGAGAAAAAAACTGAAATCATGATTTTTCGATTAAAAAAGCAACTTGGCAGTGTTTTTTGCATGTTTTTTATAGTTGTATTTGCGATTTCTTGGTCTCATTTGATAGAATGGAAGACATATTACAGAAATAGAGATGATTTTGATTGGTTTTAGCACTGGAAATGGCTTGAAACTGAGCTCAAAGTAGCGGAAATGTTAAATTTTTGCCGATATTCAAGAGTAAACAAACGACCTCACACGTCTAATACACGTCAGCTGGTGGGTCTAATATACATTCACAAATATGGTGATGATATTTAAAACAATTATTACAGTATTGCATAACAGTAAATCTTCTATTTTTTGGTGTGAATAAAAATTCATTATGTGAATAAAAAATCAAAATGGAATTTATTTGTAAAGCCTCAAAATATAACTAATGAACAGAGGAAATGTTAGTTTAGTGCCAGGAATGCCTACATTGTTTATTCTGGACCCTATTTTGAAATTGGAATATTTTGAACTTTGTGTTAAATTGGCCAAATTTAACAATTTCCGATCACTTTATTTTGTAGTTGAAACAGTTGACTTGCCGATTTCTTGTGCTCAATCGATAGAATAGAAGTAATACTAGTGAAATAGCTAAGAATTTGGTTGATTGGAATAATGTAATTGGCCTAAAATGGGAGTCAAAGTCGGCAAAATCGCCGATTCGTAAATATCGCTGACATATCAAAATTCGCGAGAGCATAATTTCGTCAATTTTCCACCAAATTTCGTACTTTTTGTTTTATTACCTTCACAAAAAGATTCTCTACGATTTCATAAGAAAAAATAACAAATTTTTTTTTTGAAAATTCTTGGACACTGGTGC